TGGATGAGGGCTGCAAAAGAGTCTCTGCGTGGAAGGAAGCTTAAAGCTTGTGAACTCTTCTTGAACCGAGATTGGAGTCATATGGTCATAAATCATTGGGACATATACTCCGCCATTCACAAAGTGATAGCCTATTTGAGTCCGGCTTACCTTAGTCTCTGACGAGCAAAGCACAGGCAGACATAATATATTTTCACATCCAGCATCCACGCAATCAATAAGCAAGGAATGACCCCCTTCCTTTAAAAACGTTAAAGGAACATACGAGAGAGAGAGAGGAAAAAAATCCAGCATATGCATGTATATATGTATAAAAAAAAAAAAAAAAAAAATGAATGTTATGTTCGAAATACATATTATGGTTACCAAAATCACATCAGGCAATTATGGTCCATGTTGTTAGATAAGAGAACTTTAAAGAAGGCATCTTTCTAAAATGTTTCTGAATGTCCTTCAACGTGTGTCTTCCAGGATCACACACTTTGTATGCTTAATACAAAAATTTCCATAAATCAGAAGAAAATTGCATTTGATGACTTGTGTTTTCAGAGGTCATGGTGGAAGTCATATAGCAGCTTCCTGTAATTTTTGTCATAATAGAAAAAGTAGTAAACCCCGAATTCCTTATATATTAAGAAGGGGGAAAAAAAAAAAAAAAAATCAAGATGCTTTCCAGCTTCCAAGATGTGCGGAAAAGCTGAGGGCTTTGAATGGACAAACCCTGAGGTTCTAGTTGCCCTATGGACTGGTACGCGCTGCTCACTGATAACAATGGCCTCTGCTTTACCACAGCAAAGGGGAAGAAGGGAAAGGAGAAGGGAAAAAAAAAAAAGAAAGAAAGAAAAGCTGAACACAACACCCCCCCCTACCCCCCCACCCCCTCTCTCTTTTAACTATGCAATGCTTGGCTGGGATTAAAATAATAACGAAAAGAATCCAGGCTACGGGAGGGTGGGCGAGGGGGGGAATAAAGCGGAGGGGATATTTAAAAATCAAGATTTGGTTTGGATTGCCGGGCAAAGCCAACGAGCCTCCCGAACAGCGTCACTAGTGAAAAATTATGCTAATTGCAGACGTGGTGGACAGAGGCCTAGGCAGAAAGATAGCAAAGCTTGCCTTTGATTCACGTGTTTAACAATTAGGTGTCAATTTATGCTAATAAACCGTTTCAACATAGTCATAGTCTCCCCCCTCCCCTTCCGCGGCGGCAATCGCGGCTCTTTCAATGGCTGGTGCTTCTCCTCCCCCGGCCCCGGGGCTGCCTCGGGTCCTCGCGGAGCCCCCCCCAAAATGAAACCCATTTTTCTGGGGGCTCGAGGAGGGGGGGAAGGGGAGCCCCTAGCCCCCCTGCTTGTATGGTTGGAGGGGAAAGGCGGGGGGGGGACACGACCATCTCTTGTGTTGGTGTAACTCCGCAGCCCCGCGTAACTTCGGCGTTAAGTTTGTGCGTCCCAATGTCTGGGGGGGTCCTCTTGCC